TATTTAATACAAATATTGTTCACATTACAATAGGCTACTGACAATTGGTGGTATAAATGTATGTGTTATATTCACTCTGAAAATAATAACAAAATGTCTTAATGGTACTAAATAATAATAATAATTTAAATATTTTTTTCTCTTTTGATTTGGGGTGAAATGGGGTTGATTTTTCGACAGTGTTCCTGAGATTCGCCCATCTGTATGTTGTTAAAATGAACAGAATATGGATGAACATAATGGTGTTTGAGCACCAGTGAGGTGAAACATAAGTGTTTATAATAATAATACAGTAGTATCCCACCCTAATGTGGCTTCAACACTGACTGGACAAACATCATGAGCTCCTGACTCTCAGAGCCGTCGTTTTTCACCAATCCCAAAGCTTCACCGCAGAACATGGAAAATGTAGGCGAGACGGTTTCTGTCTTTGCCTCGCCAAACCTCGTCCAGGTTAAATATAGCAAACCAGTCGTCTAACCTCAGCCGAGCGCGTGGTTTCATCACTGCTATTTATCTAAATCAGTTCGGCCAGTGACCACAAGAGACACTAATCTTTAGTCTAATTATCCTGCTGTTAACGGGCCATAAACGGGAGGCTGGTTGGGCTGAAACACCCCGTTATTACTCTGAGATGTCATTTGTGTAAGTACTTGTGAGTTTGAGTGTGTAAGAGCAAGTATTCACACATCTTTTGTGTGCTGTTTAGTGGTTGACCGAAATGGGTTTTTCATTGGCTGAGGCTCTTAACGACGGGTTTTATTTCAGTTTCATCGAGTGTTGACATACAAGAGTCCAACAGTTTATTTATATCACCATGAACTACATAATCCCAACGAAATGCAGAATTATTACCGTGAAGAAAGATCAGCATTCAGCACCAGAAGTTTTACTCATGAATCTGTATTTAATGTCTTACAGGTCATGAACAGAGTTAAACGAAAAATACTAGATGATTAAATGGAACTCGCAAAGAAAGACCTGGGTCGACAGAAAGAAATAGATAATTATATTTTGCATTAACAATGAAGCCTATTTTTAGGACTATTTAATTTTTTTTTTTTTCACATTATACTTTTTTAAAAACGACAATTTAAGCATATTTTCCCCTAAAAATTCTCATTACCATAAAGCAAAAAAATATATAAAAAATCCCACATTCAGTAATTAAAAATAAAAATGAGCATAAATAAATAAAGTTTATGAAAAATGTATAAACACATACAAACATAATGTATAAATACCTTTTAAAATTATTAAAATTAATATGTATATGTGTGTGATATATAATGCATGTATGAATTGCATAATTAATATTCATAATTATATTCATAATTTTATATTTTTCATTTGTAATGATTTACATTTTATTTATATGCTACATTATATATATTATATTTAATATTTACTGTAAAATTGTAATAATTACAAATGTAAACGTTTAATTTTGTATATATATTTATGTATAAAGTATTATTTTTATATATAATATATATCATTTTAAATATATTTTATATATATATAT